CTGGGGAGGCCTCTGGCAGGACACGAGACGGGAACCGGGGTGAGGAGACGGGAGGCTGGCAGAGCCCTGAGTGGGCAGAGGGCCTGGAGCTCCCTGCGATGGTTCGGGAAGCCTGGACCTGTGCTCTAGTGTCCGTGGCTTTTTGCGGAGTGCCCCAAGAACAGAAGGGACCTCATAGGCATTTCTAGTGGGGCGGGGAGGGGCAGAGAAAGGGCCGCCGAGTAAATCCAGAGACCCCAGGCCTCTCAGCTCCCACACACAGCCCTGCCCGGGCCTCGCCGGCCGGCCCAACTGCACAGCACCGAGACCCCTAGGTCGGCCCACTGCCTAAACCGCCCTCCCCGAGGGCCATTCGATCGCAAGGACGTTGGGAAATAATGGAGGCATTGTTGGCCAGCCGGCCAGATGCCGAGCGCATGGGCCCGCCCGCCCCTTCCCCAGTCGGACCACACATGGCTCCTCTCAGGCAGGCCTCTGCAGCAGCTGACACTCAACGGCCGACACCCCAGCGCACCCGACACCCCAGCGCACCCGGCACCCGCTCAGCTCCCCAGCTTGCACGCTCCTACTCTGTCCCGGGGAACAAATGTAGCCCAGAGTGAAGGGGCAGGCGCTGGCAGCATGGGGCTTTGCTCAAACTGAGACATGGGGTCTGCTCAGAGCTAAGAGGAGCTGTGCTTTTCCTGCCCAGGTCCTTCCAGGCCGGCCTCCAAATTAAAGTGTACAGACGGGGCCACTGGAGGCCAGGCGGAGGCAGGGTGAAATGGGGCATTACTGCGGGACTCCCAGGTGGAGCCTCTTGGAGGGTGGCGTCCACCTCTAGTCCCCCAGTGCTTCCTGGGCTCCCTGCCCTCGCCATGCCCTGCGCTGCCAGGGGCCCACACTGCTGTGTGCTGACTGTGGGTGACAGCAGGGGGTGGCCTGGTCTGTGGCCAGGTGCTGGATGCCCTCTGGGGTAGGTGCGTCTCTACCTGCAAGGATGGTGCGTTCCCGCAAGCTCACCTGTTTGGACTGGGGACAGGGTGTGGGAAAATCGGGCACGGGGGCTTTCTCCTGTGCTAGCAGGGGTGCTGGCGGGTGGAGGGAAGTGAGAGTGGATCCCGGCTTTCCCAGCTCCATCCCTCCTGACCTGGAGTCTTGGCTGCATCCTGGAGTCTGGGCCGAGGACACTGGGTTTCCCTCCGGAGACTCACCCTGCTTCCCTGAGCCCACTGTGGGCTGCAGTTCCAAGGGTGGGGCCCAGAAGCTGCTCAGGGCGGGAACGTCTGAGGTTGGGTCCAGCTCCTGATGGCTTCGCTGTGAGCCCTTGGACGCCACACTCACCCTCCCTGGGTTTTGGGTCGCGCTCATGCGACCAGACATTGTGACCAAGCCTCCCAGCTCGTACGTTGCCTCTCAAGTCCGAGCCTCGGCGGTGGTAGGACCCGGCTCCCTCCCTGACCCCCAGGCTACCCGCGGGCCTTCAGGCCCGAGCCCCAGGCCTCAGCCCTGAGCCGGCGCCGGGGCAGGAAGCTGCCGGGCCCGGTCAAGCGCCCTCGGGCAGCTCCGGCCCGGCTCCTCCCCTGAGCGTCCCCGCCCTCGGGCTGGGCACTCGGGGTGGCGTCTGGGCACAGCAGTTCTCCGCGCAAAGGCGCGCGGAGTCCGCGGACGCCACCGGCGCGTCTCGGCGACCCCGGCCCCGCCCCGCGCCGCGGCCCCGCCCCCC